CCCCCGCGGGGCCTCGGCCGTCGACCCGGCTCCCCCGCCGCCCCGGAGCGCGCCCCGGGGAGCCCCAGGCGGCTTCCAGGCCTCTGTCGATGTCTCCGGAGTTTCTAGAAGGTTGACGTCCAGCTTGGTTTCCAGTGGGCTCTCCTAGGGGTTGAGGCCTCTTTCGACTCTTGCACTTAAACCCTTGGGGCACACACTTGTTCTTTTGATGATCCTCCGTCGGGGAACACCCCTCAGATTCTAGGATGGGCTTTGTGTGTTTGTGCCCATGCGTGGATTTTAGTGGTAAATGAGCTACTGAACAGAGACAAAAGAGAGGGTTCCTAAGGAACACAGGATTCAACCCGCACCGGGAAAACGTGGTGAGTGAACAGCCTCTGTCTCTGTTCAGTGACTCATTGACCAGAATCTTTCCACGTCGCTGAAACCCCAGCTGTGTGGTTATCAAGGGCCTTTTCATTGAGGAAACATGATCAGTGCGTGTCTCCAGTCTCAGAGCACAGCCGCTCTGTAAGTGTTTCTGTCCTTAAGGTACTTCACAGTCAGACTGAGGCTGCTTCTCGAAGACAGGACGGAACTGCCGGGCAGGGCGGGGCTGGCTCGGCTGTGCCCCAGCGCACCTGCGCGCAAACCTGGACTGGGCCCTCCCGGAGGGAACGGCGTTCCTACGATGCGGATCGCTCAGTCTTCTGGGTGTTTTTAACTTCTCCGTCCCAACGAAATGGAATGAGCACAGACAGCCATAAACATGCAGGTGAAGTGTGAGCCAGAGACCGAAATCATGTTACTGCACACGTCCAGGATTGATAATTCGGCTTCCTAACTAAGCGGATCAGATAGTAGTTTAAGAGGACCAATATTAACGGATTGAGTACTAATTAACTTGTTCATTCAGTTATTATGTATGAAAGTAACATAAAGTATGCACAATAGACTGAAATACCGTGTTGTGGAATCAAGTTTATGAGAATCTGATAGCTGGATTTAAATAGCTACCATTAATCAATTGATGTTAAGCAGGTTCTTAAACTTGCTGACCTGTTCTAGAAGGAAATATATTTAGAATTTGGTCCTTTGTCCAAGTAATTATATTTCTTTTTAGGAATTGAGCTGTAAGAAATAATCTTGATCACAAAGATACAACTGAATGCTTTGTGTATATAGCAGTAGAAAAATAGAAACAGGCGACTGCTTCAAGAAGTTATACAGCACCTATACATAGAAATCTCTGCAGTTGTTAAAAATGCCATAGGAGACCCGCCTGGGCAGCGAGACCTCATCTCTACAATAAATCAAAAAATCAGCCGGGCGTGGTAGCACATGCCTGTAATTCCTGCTACTCGGAAGGCTGAGGCGGAAGGATTGCCAGAGCCAGCAGGCGAGGCTGCGGTGGCCGGGAGCGGCCACTGCACTCCAGTCTGGACTCCAACTCAAAAACAACAAAAAAAATGCCATAGGTAAATATTGACCTGGAAATATATCAAGTTAAATAAGAAAATACATTTATGTCAGTGTCTAAAAACGTTTTGAACTAAAAATCCCTTTACACTCTTAAATTATTGAGGACTTTATTGTTTTGTGGGTGTTATCTATTGACATTAGAAATTGAAACTGAGCCGGGCTCAGAGGCTCAGCCTGTAATCCCACTCCTTGGGAGGCTGAGGTGAGTGAATTGCCTGAACCCGTGGGTTCAAGACCCGCCTGGGCAACTTGGTGAGACCTCATCTCTACAATAAAAAAAAATTTAGCCGGGAGTGGTAGCGCACGCCTGTAATTCTGGCTACTCAGAAGGCTGAGGCGGAAGGATCGCCGGAGCCCACCAGGTTGAGGCTGTGGTGTCCGGGAGTGGTCACTGAACTCTAGTCTGGGCGACAGAGTGAGACTCCAACTCAAAAAAATAAAAATAAAAATAAAGAATAAAAGAAATTAAAACTGAAGACATTTTAAAATATGTATTTTTAACTTAGTAAAAATACCAAAAAATGTATTATATATTACCATAAATTTTTGTGACTATAATATTTTTATGAAAAATAGCTATATATTCCAAAACAAAAAAATTAGTGAGAAGATTGGCATTGTTTTACACTTTGCAAATCCCTTTAATGTCTGGGTTAGTGGAAAACAGCTAAATTCTCATATCTGCTTTTACATTCAATTTATGGTTTTGGTTGAGGTATGTGAAGAAAATATGATCCCATATAGATGCGTAGTTGGAAAAGGGGGAATATTTTAATAGACTTTTGACAAAATTGTTGATATGTTAAGTAAACTTAGGAAAATTCCATTGTACAGTGCCCCTGAGAGAATGACAATGAAGACAAATAGTATCTTAATGTTATTATGAAGATAGGGGATTTTTTTCTTGTTTTTTTGGAGAGATGAAAGTCTCACTTTGTTGCCCAGGCTGGTCTCAAACTCCTGACCTCAAGCTATCCTCCTGCCTCAGCCTCCTAAAATGCTGAGATTACATGCGTGAGCCACCATGCCAGGACTGAAGATAGTTTTGACTTGCCTGCTCCCTGAAAGGGTCTCGGAGACTTCAGACATCCCGGGACCACTCTTGGAGAGAGGCTGGTTTAAATTACTATAGTGATTAAGCAGAGCTGCTTTCTTGGGTTGCAGGACCTGATAGATGACCTGAAGTCAGAACTGAGTGGCAACTTCGAGCAGGTGATTGTGGGGATGATGATGTCCACTGTGCTGTACGACGTGCAGGAGCTGCGAAGGGCCATGAAGGTTTGTGCTCTCCCTCTCGTGCTCTTGGTGGTGTTAGTACAAACACTGGTATGCTTCCTCTAAGAAGCTGTGACAGAGGCCTTCTGAGAGTGTGAGGCATAAAGCATAGGAGGAAGATTTTCCTTCATTTATGATAGCTTGTAAACATTACATTATAGCAATTGTAATTTTAAAACTGTTTTCTAAAAAGTCATAGAATCATTTGCTCCTTTCTGTGGCTCAGTGGGGATTGATTATAGTTGTTGCTCTTGGTACACTTTCAGAAATGTTCTTATTGAGTTTGCTGCTTTTGAGATACCTTTATGACTGACACTTTAGAGGCCTCTAGGTCTGCTGTAAACCTGGAATTGACACACGGGTCTTGGCCTCCCTAGATAACGAATCCACTGTGCTCCAGCTGGAGTCCTGCCGATTTTTAATGACTATTTAAACACAAATGACTCCCCATCTAGGATGTTTCTACTAACAGTTTTTCAACTTTACAATGGGTATTTCAAGGACAGTTACCCTCAGCAGCCACGTCAGTAAACACTCAGCCTTGTAGAAGGTTCTGAGCCTGGCTCTGGGGAAGCAAAGAGGCAGCAAAGTCTTGGCCAGGACATTCCACCCTTCAAAGGAAGAGAACAGAGGAGGGCAAGGAAAGGTGAAGCCCCAGAAGGCAGAAGCTGTGCCTGGCCTGGCACAGTAGCCGATACACAGTGAAGAGTCTATAAATGCTTGTTGTTGCTCACAATTGTTATAGTAAATACACTGCATTTGGGGCAGGACAATTAAACATTAACACATCTTATTGCTAGAATGCACTGGGTGGTCTTTATTCTTTGCAGATAACTGTATTCCTTCTGTGTCTGGTACTCAGCTTTGTACACCCACCATGTCACCCTCTTCTCTGGTTTTATGTTTAGGGGGCCGGCACAGATGAGGGCTGCCTAATTGAGATCCTGGCCTCCCGGACCCCTGACGAGATCCGGCGCATAAGCCAGACCTACCAGCAGCGTATGTAGCATTTTCAGTGGCCTGGGCTGAGGTTTTGCTGTGATTTAAGAAGGAGACTAACAGTGGGTGGTTATCCACAGATTAGATTCTCTTCATAGAAACACTGACCATGCAGGATCCTCGGTGCTGAGCTCTGCTTTGAGGCAGACCCCTGTCTAGGCAAATGGCAGATGACTGTATGTTGGCTTCTTTAGATCTCTCAGGTGAAGATGCTACTCTACTTCAGCGACTCAGTACAGTGTTTTATTACCCTGAAAGTTGGAAAGTTGCTCCTTATTATCAAAGCAAAGACTCAAAGGTGCTTATCCTCTAGCGGTGGCATCAGCAAACCTTAACATTCCAAGGCATGTCCTGAGAGGTTGTCTGGTCCAACTTTTTACCTCGAGCATGAACTGTATTCCTTCCAGCCATCTCAGAAACATAGCCATTTACTCCCCTCTTAGAAATCTCCAGAGGATGATATGCATGAAGAGCCTTTAAAAAAATGCATGCCTTTTTGCCCTAAGATTATAACAAAAAAGACCAGGCTCAGTGGCTCAGCCTGTCATCCCAGCACTTTGGGAGGCCGAGGCGAGTGAATTGCCTGAGACTGAGGGTTTGAGATCAGCTCAGGCAATTTGGCAAGACCTCGTCTCTACAATAAATCAAAAATTAGCCGGATGTGGCAGCGTGCACCTGTAGTTTTGGCTACTTGGAAGGCTGAGGTGGACGGATTGCTGGAGCCCAGCAGGTTGATGCTGGGGTGGCCATGAGCATGCCACTGCCCTCCAGCCTGGGCCAAGAATGAGACTCCAATTAAAAAAAAAAAAAAAAAAGACTATAACAAAAAAAATGCACAAATGTTTAGATCCTGCAGTGTCTATTCAATATAATTTATACTAACCAAAAATATCCAGCAGTTGTGTAGCTTTACATTGGAGAATATTATTTACTTATTAAATGGTATGGTATATAGATAAATGAAAAAGACAAAGCCATGAAATACCCTGCTATGTCCCATTTTAAAAAAATTAACAGCATTAACGACACATTTTTTTTTTAAAGGGAAGTAATATGTGTATGTGGGGGGAGAAATGGAGAGAGATAGTCACTGAAATATTAGTGATTATTATTTCTGGGTGATTAGATTATGGTGGAGTCCCCAGTCCCCCTGCCTTATTTTACTCATTTGTTTTTTTCCTAAATCTTCTAGTCAACATGTATTACTTTTGTAAGAAAGAAAACAACAATGAGAGCTTTTTGATAAGTGTTCAGACCAGAAGTTTGGATTAAGCACCCAGATACCCATATCTGCCCAATGTGGGTTTTCTCCCCTGAGGGCTGTGAAGGGTGGGAGCTTCTCATGGGTGACCTCTGAGAACCTCTCAAGTGATAGATGTGGTAGAAAAGGCTCATGCTAGGATTTGTGCCCAAGACAGTCCAGAAGCTCCCCTCTGGTTGCCTCTTGTCTAGAAGCAGCAGTGGCCGTTCCACAGTGCTGCTCTTTCTACGTCACTGAGAACCATGTTCTGAGCAGACCTCCAGACAGTAGCAACCATAGACAGAGGATTTCAGTGCCAGCTCTCTTGACATGCATTTTAAGGAATAGGAACATCTTGTTTCTGCTATGATGACAAGATAAACGTGTCTTGACCATTTTACGAGATTCAGTGTTTGAAAAACCATGTGTGGGATGAAAAACCTCCCGATGAGCTGCTTCAGGAAATAGACTGGTCCTGAGGGGACAGAACATGCTGGAGTGTGACACAGTGTGAGCCAAGACTCTATTCTCATGTAGCTAATTTCATTCTCTTGCTAGAATACGGACGGAGCCTTGAAGACGACATTCGCTCCGACACATCATTCATGTTCCAGCGAGTGCTGGTGTCCCTTTCGGCTGTGAGTCACTGTCTGCTGCTTCTGACTGGGGAGGGATTTTATTGAAATGCTTTCTCTTTATCCCTTTTATCAGCCCTGCTCATCCTCTCAGCCCCCTAAATGTGGGTATTTTTCAGGTGGTATTCTTGAACCTCTCTGTTATTTGATCTTATTTCACCTTCAGGGAGTCTGGCTAGTCATGTATGTCCATTCATTCTACTTTAATCCAATATTTACAAGTACCTAATCCATTCCAGGTACCTCTGTTGCTCAGTGCATTGAGAGTCACGATGATTAGAGGCAGTACCTGTGTTTTGAGAGTTTATATTGTCTTAAAGGAATATATCAGGTACATAAGTTGCTATCAGACATGAAGAAATTAAATGTTAAAGGAAAGGCCCATAGTAAAAGGAAGACTGGAGGAGAGATTCTGGTTGCAGAAACAAAGAAAAGGTTTCATGGCAGAGATGCTGGTTCAGAGAGGACCTGGAAGATCGCTGGGATTTCTAGAGGCGAACATGTGGGTGGGCACATTCCAGGCAGGAAAAACTGCAAGAACAAGGCGAGGAGGCAGGAAACATGGCGTGTGTTCCGAGAACAATTGGCCGAACGGCAGGCTGCTGTTTCTAGAAGTGAAATGGGAGGATGAACTGGGATTCTATGTTGGGAAGCATTGGCGCCCATTTATTTGGAGAGCAGTAGGGAGCCACCAAAGGTTTGGAACCAGTAGATGATGATGATGATGATGGTGATGATGAGAGTGATGTGATTGGAATTGCATTTTCAGAAGAGTAATGTCATAGGGATGCGTAGGATGACCTGGAGGCTGGGAAGTCACTCAGTGGTCCAGATGGGAAAGGACTAGACCAGGCAATGTAGGGCAGGTGTGTCAGAAAAATGAAGATGGAGACTTGAGACATTTCACATGCCTTCCTAACTGCATCTTTATCCCTGGCCTCCTTCCTGAAGGTGAAACTCCTTTCTCACTGCTTTGTAGATGTTTCCTTATGGATATGCTACTGTCACCTCCAATCAGTCCTAAACGAAACTGGAACTAATCTTCCCTCCAAACCAGCTCTTCTTCCTGACTTGCCTGTTCTGTTAATATTGTTGCTGTTCTTCCAGCATCCAAAATAGAACCGGAAATCATCTCCAACTTCCATCACGTGCTCAACTCTGATACTTACTAGTAATGCTTATCTATTTCTCTTCCATCCTGTTTTTTTTCTTTTCCTCCCATATTTACCACCCTGATGAGCCATGCCCTATACCATAGAATGTCGAGACAGCATAGCAATAAAAATGGTCTAAAAACTAGAGGAAAGTAGCTCGTTTTGTCTCCTTAGCATTCCTTCGAGGCTTTAGCCCTGCTCTCCTGTGAGCTGGTGTTGGTGAAGGGTGAGGGCGTTTTCACGTGCTTCGTAAGTCCCACCACAGGTCCCAGATTCTCTGGGCTCGCCTTTGTTCCCAAACTCCCTCCTTTTTTTTTTTTTTAAAGATACAAGGTCTTGATGTGTTGCCCAGGCTGGCTATTCATGGATGTGATCATAGTGCACTATGGCCTCAAACTCCTGGCCACAAGCAATATTCCCTCCTCAGCCTTTGGAGTAGCTAGAACTACAAGCACACCCACCTATCTTTTGGCAGACACTGATCAATGTAGATTTGCCAGTTAGGAAGGCATGCATCAGCTACAAAGACACACAAGTGGGGATGATGGGGAAGGCTAGGAAATAATAGGGGTAGCAATCAACAGAAAGCATTCCTTCTTCTCCTCCTTCTACTGTTGGCAGAGACACCTGTGCAACATTAGGGGTCACACTGAGGCTAATGTCTTCCAGGCAGAAATCAGAGCCACAGTAATCTAAGCACATTCAGAGGACATCTGTCCTCTCTCTCTAGGCCTTAAGTCCCACTCCTTGAGGCATTTTGTCTAATTCTTTTTGGTTTGGTTTTCTCATCCTCAGGGTGGTAGGGATGAAGGAAATCATCTGGATGATGCTCTCATGAGGCAAGATGCCCAGGTTAGTAGAACTGCACTTCTTTTTTCTGGTTTTCTTCTCTTCTGCCAGTAAGATAGACCTTAGTTGGCGGACAACCTCTTATATCTCAGTGCGTATCAGCAGGCTGGGCTGTATTATGAATCTGTATTATGAATACACACACACAGAGAGAGAGAGAGAGGGAGAGAGAGGTGAAGAGAAGGGAGAGAGGTTTCTTATAGGGAATTAGCTCACAAGACTATGCAGGTAGACAGGTACCAAGATCTTCAGAGTGAGTCAGCAAGCTGGATACCCAGAAGAGCTAACAGTGTAGTTCTTGTCTGAGTCTGAAGGCTTAAGAACCAGGAAAGCTGACAGTGTAGTTCCTGTCCAAACGCCCAGCTAGAGACCCAGGAAGAAGCATTGTTTCAGCTCAAGTCCAAAGGCAGGAAAAAAACTGATGCCCTAGCTCAAAGCAGTCAGGCAAGAAGCTTTCCCTCTTAATCTTGGAAGGGTCAGCCTTTTTGTTCTATTGAGGCTTTCAACTGATTGAATGAAATCCACCCATATTAGAGAGGGCACTCTGCTTTACTCAGTCTATGGATTTAAATGTAAATATTATCCAAAAACACTCTCACAGAAACACCCAGAATAATGTTTAACCAAATATCTGGGCAACTCCATGGCCTAGTCAAGTTGGCATAAAATAAATCATCACAAGCAGTCACAAGCCTGTTAAGATTCAGGGTTAGGAAGCACTGGGTTAGATGAACTTTTTGAGCCCTTCCAGCTTTAAAGTTTTATGATTCTGTGAATTAGACTCTAAAGCAGTGAGGAAATCAGAGGAAGAAGAAAAGAAACAGAAGGGTATATGGAGATAAGCCCAATGAGTGACAATGTGTGAGTCCAGACCATTTGGGGAAATTTGTCAGGGCCAGCTACTGATTATAAATGAACAATGGCTCTGATTAGTCAGTAATGTAGTCAAAGTGAGCAGAATCCATTTCTTGTATTCCTACCTGGTTGAAATGTAAGCAATTACCAATGAGTCCCTGGTTCTACTGTGAGACCTTCTGTAGCCACAGGCATATCACAGATTATTCTAGAGCAGGCCTGTACAATAGAACTTCCTGTGATGATGAAAACATTCTACATCTGCACTGTCTTGCATGGATAGCCACTGGCCACTGGGCACTTGGAATGTGGCTAGTGTGACCCCAAGGAGCTGAATTTTGCATTTTATTAATTTTAATGAATTAAAATTAAAATAGCCCCATGTGGGCTAGTGGAAAATGCATGGATCAGCCCATGCCTAAAGCATTCCTTTTAGCTCTTAAGATAGAACCATGTGCCTGCATAAAGGAACTGCTGGTGTTTGCCTTGACTCCCAGGGAGATATTATAGACCATAATTTTTTTTTTTTTTGAGTTGGAGTCTCACTCTGTCGCCCAAACTGGAGTGCAGTGGCCGCTCCCGGCCACTGCAGCCTCAATCTGCTGGGCTCCGGCGATCCTTCTGCCTCAGCCTTCCAAGTAGCTGGAACTACAGGCGCGCACCACCACGCCCGGCTAATTTTTTAAAAAATTTATTGTAGAGATGAGGTCTCGCCAAGTTGCCCAGGCGGGTCTCAAACCCGCGGGCTCAGGCCATCCACTCACCTCAGCCTCCCAAAGCGCGGAATTACAGGCTGAGCCACCGAGCCCAGCTGACCATAATATTATATTATTATAGTCTTGTGCCTAAGGAAAGATCCTGAGTCATTTCCACTCACCACCACCACTTCCACCCCCATCGCCAACAAAATAAAACTCAACCAGCTCAGCTCTTGAACATTCTGGAAATATTTGCCTGTGTCCTGGCACATCCTTCTTGGTGTTTCAACTTTTGCTTTGTTTGGCTTTAGGACCTGTATGAGGCTGGAGAGAAGAAATGGGGGACAGATGAGGTGAAATTTCTAACTGTTCTCTGTTCCCGGAATCGAAATCATCTGTTGCATGGTAAGGCACTTACCTCACTTCCCAAAGAAACTATTGGAGAGGTAGTGAAAACTGTATTGCCCGTAGTTAGCTGATAATCATCTTTTCTCCTTCAGCTGGTCCAAAGAACTGATTGTACTGAACTTTCCTAGACTCTTACCTTAGAAATGTATGAGTCCAATGATATGCATGAAAGCCAATTTCTGAAAGATTAATGATGAATATTGAGCAGAAATGCAATGTATTCATAGACATTTGGCATTCCTGTTATTTAGCAAACTGAACTTCATAGTCAGTCCTTTTGCTAAAGTGGCTCCAAGACACCCATTTTAATTTAGTTACATAAGAAAATAATCTTCATTACAGCCGGAAACAATAAAATAGTAATGATGGCTGATGTTTATTCCTGTTTAACATCCAAGGTTTTGAAAAGCTAGCAGAAGTGATTTCTCTAGGGGTTACATTGCATGAGACGAATAGTGTATAATATCACATTTTATTTCCTATGTGTATTATTTCTAATTTGTTTCTGATAATTCTAAGCTTTATAATGTGCTAATTCTTTTTTTTTTGAGTTGGAGTCTCATTCTTGTTGCCCAGGCTGGAATGCTGTGGAATGCTCCCAGCCACCACAGCCTCGACCTGCTGGGTTTAGGCAATCCTTCTGCCTCAGCCTTCCAAATAGCTACAGATGCACACCACCACGCCCAGCTAGTTTTTGTGATTTATTGTAGAGACGAGGTCTCACCAAGTTGTCCAGGCTGGTCTTGAACCCCTAGGCTCAGGCAGTCCTCTCGCCTCGGCCTCCCAAAGTGCTGGAATTACAGGCTGAGCCACCACCCCTGGCCTGTAATGTGCTTGTAACATCTTTGGGGAGAAAGATACTATACAATTTTTAAAATGTGTTATCACGTTTATATTCTTCTTGTAAACAGCAGTAAGAGTTAAATAAGATATTTCATCTTTTGTATAAGCTCTTTAGGTCTTTACTTACATCATAACTGTATAGACCCACCAGACCTTAAACTTACCATACCAAACTTACACACACTGATTTGCAAATCATGCAAGAAATTTGAGAATGAGTTTGCTAATTGAAAACAAAGCAATTGAAAAGTGCAACAAATGTTGACGTTGCAATTATTTCAGATATTCCACAGTGACAAAAAAGAGGTGATTACATCTGTTAATAAATATCCTGGCCTACCATCTGCTGCACCAACTTCTGACCCAGCTCCCCATTTCCTGCTATTCCTTGCCTGATTACGAATAACACAGATCTCCCCCTGGTGGTATTTTCTGAGAACTGCAGGTCCCCAGAAACCAATTTAGTGCATAAATACATTTGTGAAAATTTTCACTTCCGGGTACTAGTCAATAATTGGGCAATTCTAAAATATTTGTTTGTAAGCCACTGGGAGAAAATATTTTCAGCACTATTTGGATAAAGAAAACTTCATAATTTTCTTACCAACCAACTATAATGGTGAGAATTCACAATAACTAAGCCTTGTTAATAATTTTCTATCTTGTAGGTGCAGTGTTAAGTATATTATAAGCATTGTTTCTTGAAATATTCAGTGGGGTAGTCATTATTTTCCCCATTTTACAGCGGAGAAAACAGGCTTAGAGAGTGTGTCAATTAGATTCTTGGATTCCAAGCAACATACACTGACTCTAACTTAAGTAAGAAAAGAGGAAATAAGCCGGGCTCGGTGGCTCAGCCTGTAATCCCACGCCTCTGGGAGGCTGAGGTGAGTGGATTGCCTGAGCCCGCAGGTTTGAGATCCACCAGGGCAACTTGGCAAGACCTTATCTCTACAATAAATCAAAATTAGCCGGGCATGGTAGTGCGCGCCTGTAGTTCCAGCTACTCGGAAGGCTGAGGCAGAAGGATCGCCGGAGCCCAGCAGGTCGAGGCTGCGGTGGCCAGGAGCGGCCACTGCACTCCAGTCTGGGTGACAGAGTGAGACTCCAACTCAAAAAAAAAAAAAAAAGAGGAAATAATACAGAATGGGACAAGAGGGAAAATGGAATGTTCTAGTAGCTCACAAAATTGAGCAGAGAGCTGAACAACTTCAGGAAGAAGAGAAACTAAGGCAGTTGTGGGGATCACAGTAGAAGAGAGTTATGAATTTTATTTCTAGGGCAGAGTTTCTGGAGTCTGTTCTCCATTAAAAATGCTGATTGTTGAACCCCTACTTCAGACTGGCTGAATTAGAATCTCTGGGAGTGACACCCAGGAAATTTAGCTGTTTCACTGAGGGTAAAAATGACTCAACACTTTTGGCCATGCCCGTGATCTGCTCAATTAAAAATTCCCGGGAGGATAGTAAATCAAATGGATCCTGACTGGGTGGATTTCTCACTTGTTTGGCAGAGGTTTTGGTGTATGTTGTTGGGTCTGGTGTCCCTTAACTGCTAGACCTGTGAAAATCTCATTGATAGAGGTGAGGCAGCATGCCAAAGAAGGTGACGTTAAAAGATAAAGTAGATACCTGCTGTAAGAAGGTTCTAGAAGGTAACAGCAAGAGAGGAAGACATATTCATCACATTAAAAATACTTGGCAAAAAAGCAAACAAATTTAATTACGTTCAAGTCTATTAAAAGCTGCAACTGGCTGTTATTAAGTGTGACTCAGTTTTGAAGAGGTTGAACTGCTCTAGTTTTGATGAACCAAAAGGAAGATGATTGCCAAGGCCAAAATTACAAAAGGAAACATCCTTCTTTTTTTTTTTTTTTTTTCCTGAGTTGGAGTCTCACTCTGTCGCCCAGACTGGAGTGCACTGGCTGCTCCCAGCCACCGCAGCCTTGACCTACTGGGCTACGGCTATCCTTCCGCCTCAGCCTTACAAGTAGCTGGAACTACAGGCGCACGCTACCATGCCTGGCTAATTTTTGATTGATTGTAGAGATGAGGTCTCGTTGCCCAGGCGGGTCTCGACCCCGCAGGCTCAGGCAATCCACTCACCTCAGCCTCCCAAAGGCGCGGGATTATAGGCTGAGCCACCAAGCCCGGCATGAAACATCCTTCTTATAAAGGAGAAAAGAAAGCAAATGTCTCCAGAAGTCATCTCCATCTTACGTGTGAGGGCCCCAGATAACAGAAGGGACTTATCTGATGTCCTCCAAGCATCACAGTATTTCTTCCTCCTCATCTTGGGCCCATTTCACTGTGCCCCATCCCTCCTGGGTGCTTGCTCACATTGCTAATTAGCTTACCCTTGATATACGCCAAAGAATAAATAGTGTAGACTAGCTAAAAGATCCTCATTCTCTCGAAAAAATTTAGCTTCCTCTATTCTTTTTTATTACTGATAATGCCATTTGTTATTGTTTGTAGTGTTTGATGAATACAAAAGGATATCCCAGAAGGACATTGAACAGAGTATTAAATCTGAAACATCTGGTAGCTTTGAAGATGCTCTGCTGGCTATAGGTAAGCTGGTGAGGGGTAGGGAGTAGAGAAACGATGTCTGTAGATTTTCCTCCTTGTTATCTGTTTGTTGTCATGGGGATATAGAATTTTTTTTTCCAGATATAAAAGTTGTTTAAATCACGAATGGTATGTTCCAGAATTTTAAACAAGAAATATTATTTATAACCTGACTGCTCATTGTGCCACATGTTTTATATATGTTTTATATCTTCTGTGCCTTTATAGCACATTATATGGGAAACATAACATTACTACTAACTGCACCTTGCAAGTCTGTGAATGGCTACAACTAATAACTATCTTATATGGTAGGCATAGCTGCGGGGGCCCGCCCCGCAAGGGTCGTGGGAAGTGTTGAAGGAGAGACGCATAGACTCCCAACACATAGCAATTGTCATTTTGAAACTGTGTGCCACTCTTTGCTTTGGTGGACTTTGTGAATTAGTTCTCCAGAAACTTGATGATCAATTGACAGTACTTTCTAACTGTGAAAATGCATAAAGCATAGCCTATGTTCATGAAACATGGTTTAGCTAAAATTTCTCTGGCAAAATAATCAAGAGACATTGATACCTTGTAGAAACTGTGGGGACTGCTGCTTTTTTCTCACAGTTCTTATCTGTAATCTTTTTCTTTTTTATAACCTGAACACATTTTATTCTAACTACTGTAATCAATATTTATTTATTTATTTATTATAAAGATGGGTACAATTCAGGGTTAGGTATAGAAACATTGATCATGCAGGTACCCTTGTCTTTTCTCTTGACAGTAAAATGCATGAGGAACAAATCTGCATACTTTGCTGAAAGACTTTATAAATCCATGAAGGTAAATGACTTCATCTTCAGCATCCAAGTGACTCTGGCATATCTCGTGTCCACCCCCTTAGCCTTGCTTTTATCCCTGTCCAAATTTCAGCCTGAAATAATCCAATTCAGTTCACCCCTTTATTGAATATCTGCTAATAATCATACTAGATGATGTTTATTTATTTATTTTTTTGTCGGAGTCTCACTCTGTCGCCCAGGCTGGAGTACAGTGACACACTCGTGGCTACCCCAGCATCGACCTGCTGGGCTTCAGTGATCCTTCCGCCTCAGCCTCCAAGTAGCCGGAACTACAGGCACCCGCTACCACACCCAGCTAATTTTTGAGTTATTATAGAGATGAAGTCTTGCCAAGTTGCCAGGGCTGGTCTCGAACCTGCAGGTTCAGGCAATCCACTCACCTCAGCCTCCCAAAGTGCTGAGATTACAGGTTGAGCAACTGAGTCTGGCTTGGTGATGTTTATTGAATACTTAGGATGTGTGAATCACTTAATGCTCTATGTGTATAGATTAATCTTATCTCCACAATAGCTCTACGAGGCAAGTACTGTTATTAACCTCCATTTTACACATGAGGAAACTGAGGCATAGAGAGGACATGTGATTTGTCCAAGGTCCTGAGGAAGGAAGGAATTTAGAGCACAGATACAAACACCAGTCATCTAGCTCCAGAACCCATACTCCTAACCCTGCATTGTACTCTGTGCCAGCACCCATGCTGGGACTCACAAAGGATGCAGGAAAGATAAAAATATAGTCCTTGCTCTCCAAAAATGTCTAACCATGTGGGAAAGGGAAGTATGTGCAAAACACCCATAACAACCAGATAGACTGGAAGGATTCAAATATGGAACACAGAGGAAAGGGGCTGTTTTCTTCCCCATATTTTTTGAGGAAGGAGACTCCACAAGGAATATATGGAGATGTTGGCATATTTGAGTAGGGCCTTCAAGGAAGTTTTACCCCCGAGGATTTTTACAGGGTAAGAGGGAAGGACAGGGAGGGAGAGGGGAGGATGGCATTCAGGGGGAGGAGTCCTTGTTGGTGCGGTGGGCAGATTGTGACAGCACAGGGTATGGCTCAGAAAGGCAGAGAGCAGTGTCCTCTGGTCAGGACACAGACTTTTGGAAAAGTACATTGTGGAGAGCCTTGAATACCACGGTAAGGAGCGAGCTTAGGCCTCCCAGGTATGGAGCAAAGGACAGTACCAGGAGAGTCATTCCTAGCTTTGCCTTGATCGCCTGAAGAAGACGATCAAGAAAACCTGCTAGGTTTTCATGCATGTGGGATCTTATTTTCTTCCTTAGGGCTTGGGCACCGATGATAACACCCTCATCAGAGTGATGGTTTCTCGAGCAGAGATTGACATGCTGGACATCCGGGCACATTTCAAGAGGCTCTATGGAAAGTCTCTGTACTCGTTCATCAAGGTAGGTCACAGCAGCCTTGGCCTGGGAAAGCCCAAGGTAAGGGTGAACTCTGGCCTTCTTGATCCCCTCTTCTTTACAGCAAAGATGGCACTTCAGGTATTTCCAGTCTCTCTCCTTTCACACAGATATTTAAACCTTTGTCAGGGTAGAAGCTGGACAATTCTAAATATGGTAATTATTTCATGTTCACCCCAGACAAGAGAAGGATTACATTTTAATAAATACTTTTGAAAGTACAATTTCCATGCCTACCTAATTACCATAAGAGATAAGCAACTGAATCAAAAGTCCAGGTGACTTCTGCTGAAAATACGGGAAAGCGTTTTAGTTATCCTGAATTGCTGTTCTTTAGCTGATACCAGACTTCCAGGAGTCCTAAGATGGCATGGTAGTGATGAGAAATGATTCATGTGCCTCAAAACTTCACTACTGGGATTTTGCTTTTTGAGAAAGCCAGGAGAGCCTCATGGACGTGAATCGGTGACAAATTTCCGCAGAAGCTGGGGCCGCCTGACAGCAAACTTCAAATGAGGGCTTGATCTGTGAACTAAATATTCTGAATCCTACTTATAGTTTGGAAAGGTGTACCTATTAGGTGATTTGAGCAGATTTTGTTACTGTGTCTACAAGGCGTTCAGGAACTTGTTTCTGTTTCTGTAAAGGCTATTAGGCAACTTTATTTTGCAGAGCTGAACTATAGCTAGTTTAAGATTCAGAGATGACCATAAATGAAGTTATAGGAAAAAATACTTGTAACATTATATAGGGTTACTATCTCTATAAGAGCTTTATATAGGCCATTGCTTTGTTAAACTCTGGTGTGTCCATGTGGCTCTTTGAGCTATGGCCACCATGTTTCCTAGTCTTGGCCCCCTCCTCTACCTTGGGGAAGTGAATCTCCTCTCTCTTCTCTCTTTAATTTGTTTTCTAAATAAACTATATTTTCCAATGTAAAAAAAAAAAAAGAGAGGGAGAGCTTATTCAAATCACAAAGAAAGAGATACACCCCAAAGGAAAACTGAGCAAAGGATATGAATCATGCATCTCATGAAAGATGAAACACAAATGCCCAAAATTATATAGAAAATGTTTAATATCATTAATATTCAATAAAAATTACAAATAGTCATTTTTCACCAAATACTTCAATAAAATTTAAAGAGATCATAACCAGCAATGATTAGGAAGGACTTGGGGAAAGTTTATTGTCTTGTTTTATGGAGGGACTATAAACTGGTATAATGTTTATCTGATAAGAGTTTATAATTCAGAATACATAAATATTTATAGGTCAGGAGTGGTAGCTCACATCTGTAATCCCAGCACTTTGGGAAGCCTAGGCGGGAGGATTGTTTGAGGGCAGGAATTTGAGATCAACCTGGGCAACACAGAGAGATCCCCATCTCTTTAAAAAAAAAAATTAGGCTGTCATGGTGGCACATGTCTGTATTCTTAGCTGCTCAGGAGGCTGAGGTGAGAGGATCACTTGAGTCTAGGAGTTTTAGGCTGCACCGAGCTACGATTGTGCCATTCCACTCCAGCCTGGGACATAGTAAGATCCTATCTCTAAAAAAACCAAAAGAACAACTACAACTCAATAACAAAAAGAGCCCAATTTAAAAAATGGGCAAAGGACTTGAATAGACATTTCTCCAAAGAAGATATACAAATGGCTAACAAGCACATGAAAAGACCCTCAACATCATTAATCATTAGGGAAATGCAAATCATAACCAGAATGAGATACCATTTTACACCTAACATGATGGCTCTAATTTAAAAAGAAAAAGCAGACAAACAAACAAAAAGCATGAAAAGACCCCCAGAAAATAACAAATGTTGATGAGGATGTGAAGAAATTGGAACTCTTGCATTGCTGGCAGGAATGTAAAATGGTGTAGCCACTGTGGAAAACAGTCTGGCACTTCCTCAGAAATTTAATGTAGAACTACCATATGACACAGCAGTTCCACTCTCAGATTTACACTCAAAAGAAATGAAAAAGGGATGCAAACAGACACTTGTACACCAATGCAAATATTCACAACAGGCAGAAGGTGGAAATGACCTAGGTATCCAACGACAGATGAATGGATAAATAAAATGTGTATGACATTTAATGGTAGGCTGTCATGAAAAAAAAAAGGAATGACCTTTCTGACATGGATGAACCCTGAAAACATGCTAAGTAAACTGAATCAGGCACAAAAGAACAAATATGATTCCACTTATGTGAAATATGTAGAATAGGTAAATTCATAGAGACAGAAAGTAGATTAGGGGTTACCAGGGATTGCGAGGAAAGGGAAGTTATTGGTTAGTGGGTACAGAGTTTCTGTTTGGGGTGATGAAAGAGTTTGGAAATAGACTGATGACAGTTGCACAACACTGTGAATGTAATTAATGCCACTGAACTATACACTATGTTCCAAGTGATGGAATATAAATATACTGATTGACTTGGGAAAACATCACTATAAATATAATGTATTTAATATCATATGTGTATATATGTAGATATATGTATAAACATACAATAGAAAAGATTAAAAATAAAGAATACATTGCCTATTCGATAATAATTGTTAAAAGCAGAAGTATAAAATATGTACATAATAGAAAAAAAATGACAAAAGATTAAAATACAAGTTATAATTATAAACTCTCAGGTGAGGTAAAAATATAAGATTCAATTCAGGCTGTTTATAAGGAACAGCTAAAATACAGTGGCATGTAAAAAGCTTAACAGAAGCCGGGCTCAGTGGCTCAGCCTGTAATCCCGCACCTTTGGGAGGCTGAGGTGAGTGGATTGCCTGAGTCCGCGGGTTCGAGACCCACCTGGGCAACTTGGCGAGACCTCATCTCTATAATAAATCAAAAATGAGCTGGGCGTGGTAGGGCGCGCCTGTTGTTCCAGCTACTTGGAAGGCTGAGGCGGAAGGATCGCCGGAGCCCAGCGGGTAGAGGCTGCGGTGGCCGGGAGCAGCCACTGCACTCCAGTCTGGGCAACAGAGTGAGACTCCAACTGAAAAAAAAAAAAAAAAGTAGATGACTTGAACTGGGTATTCCATTATAAACCCTATGCAACTAACTTTGCTTCCCTTGTCCCAGGGCGACACGTCCGGAGACTACAGAAAAGTCCTGCTCATTCTTTGTGGAGGAGATGATTAAAATAAAATCCCAGAAGGATAGGAGAATTCTCAGCACTTCAATTTTTTTAACTTCATTTTTGTACACTGCTATTAGCATTATCTCAGAACGCTTATTTCCAATTAAAACGCCTACTGTTGCCTCCTAAGATGTGAACGTCTGTATTATTATTCTTCTATAATTAGTCATTAAGATGCTTTAAAGCCGTATTTGCATTTCAAAACATATAAGGCCTAAACGGAGATTTAAAATTAGAAATAAAAAGGTACTACCATGTTTTTAACAGATTACTTCCTCATCTGTGTTTCAGAGAAATTGAATCTATTAAACTATTTCATACTTTCTTTTTGGCAAAAAACCATGAAAATGGAAGTCCGTTCTAAAGTCACTTTTTCCCCAGATTTAATGTTTAGAGTGGATAGTAATTTCTTTATTTGAAATTGTAAGCATTCAGTTAGTAAGAATACCCATCCAGCTTTCTGTTTTTCATGGTCATAGACTTCAAAGCATCCACAAATCTTTTTTTAGGTTTTGTCTATAGCACTAGTTGATCTTTACTAAGTTTGGCGTGGGAGACTTCCTTCATCACATTTTATGTTGCAATTACTTTCTCCAGTTGAAGTATAACAAACTCGCCAATTCATCTGAACAAACTAAATTCTAAGTGTAGTTACACAAATCATGCATATCTGGTTACCAAACATAAATGCTGAACATATCCCAATATTATAGTTAATGTCTTAATACAGCTTGAAAGTGAATGAGAAAAGATTAAGCTGCAAACTAGGTATCCTGGTATTGGTATAATGCTCTGAATTTAGTTTGACAAATAAAACTTTTTGTACTAAAAATAATTTAAAAAATCTTCTTCGGTTTTGTTGATTGTAGTCATTTACATTTGTACGATGCCTTTCAGCTCTACAATCATTCTGAAGGTGTACTTGGGTTTAATTTAAAAGTTTACTTTGTATGAACATGGAAAAATAATTTTAATAAAAAATTGTGTCTTTAAAATGAGGTATATTCTTTTTCTGATTGACTTTTACACTTCTGAGTTTTTCATCCTGGACCCTGAAAGGAGCAATTTTTGAAAGACTTGTGTTACTTGGTTTCTCTCTTCTTGTTTTTTCTTTTTTTTAAATAGAGACAGGGTCTGGCTCTGTTGCACAGGCTGGCATGCATTGATGAGCTCATAGGTCACTATGACCTCAAACTCCTGGCTCAAATGATCATTTTCCCTCAGCCTCCCAAGTAGCTGGGACTGTAGGCATGAGCCCTCATGACAGGCTGTGTTCCCCAGTTTCTATTAGGAATTACAATGAGGGAAAATAAAATCTAGTCTTCTGTTTGCCTACTACTATAAAACTAATGTTCATATGTGTCAATCACCACTCGATATAAAATAATGTATGAACCTCTGGAAACGAGTGATACTCTCTGTTCTAAGTAGAAAATTTACATTAAATGTTATAAATATATAAAGGACATTTATATTTTTATTATAATGAGAATACTTGCCTTCTTTATTCATTTTATAATATCTACTGTATTTTGGTGGGTGAGATATAAGGATTTGTTTTTTAGTTGAATGTTATTTGTCATAACAGTATTAGTGCTGGAGCTGTTGGTGAAAGTTGCATGAATATTTAGTCATTTCAGCTAATTATAGGAAATAATTAGCCACTTCGATACCTTCCCAGAAGACCCCAGACTCTCCAAATTAACTTTTATGACTTCGGTAGCATTGTGAATTTTTTGGTAGAAGTTTTATCTTTAAACAATATATAGCTTAACCAAAATTTTAAAACAAATATTGCATTTATTGACCAGAAATGTTCTAGATGGCAGAAGAAAGCCACCCTGGAGGAATGTTTGTCATACTGGCAAAATCATGACAAGCATAACTCTGAGATATAAATATGAAGCAACTTTGTTTTTCCCTCCTACTGTCTATTGACATTTATTCAGTGTGCCTAGTTCTCCCATCTTTAGATGTGAATTCAGATAGAGGATAGAGTCATGACTTTTCTGCTTACTCTTAGGTTGTTTTGGTTTTTTGAGTTGGAGTCTCATTCGGTCGCCCAGACTGGAGTGCAGTGGCCGCTCCCGGCCACCACAGCCTCGACCTGCTGGGCTCCAGTGATCCTTCCGCCTCAGCCTTCCGAGTAGCCGGAATTACAGGCATGTGCTACCACGCCTGGCTGATTTTCTGATTTATTGTAGAGATGAGGTCTTGCTGCCCAGGCGGGTCCCGAACCTGCGGGCTCAGGCAATCCACTCACCTTGGCCTCCCAAAGGTGCAGGATTACAGGCTGAGCTACCGAGCCCGGCTACTCTTAGGTTTTAAAAAGTTCAACCGCAGGACCAGGCGCAGTGGCTCATGCCTGTGATCCCAGCACTTTGGGAGGCCAAGGCTGAAGACTGCTTGGGGCCAGGAGTTTAAAACCAGCCTGGGCAATATAAACAAACTTTATCGCTACAAAAAAAATTAAAAATTAGGCAGGTGTGGTAGCACGTACCTGTAGTCCCAGCTATTCGAGAAGTTAAAATTGGAGGACTGCTTGAGACCAGGGGGTCTAAGGCTGCAATGAGCCATGATCACATAATTGCACTCCAACCCGGGCATGTACAGAGTGAGCCCATCTCAAAAAAAAAGTTCTGTTTAGTCCCTTAAGGTCATCAAACAATGTCATTACCGTAATTATTACATCCAGTCAAAACTCTAAACTTGATTTATAGTTGAGGCTTTTTCCCTCATTCAGCTCTGGCCTACTGCCAGTAGGAAGCTGGCTTCTGGGGAAGGGGAGATAGCTTCTTTGTCCACCTAGGCTTCCTTCCATATCTGCCCCAACCTATCTTTCCTGGATTGTAGCAGACAGGATAGTAAAGGAGAGCAGGAAAATTCTTACCTGACTGTTATTGCTATGATGTTAGAGAATTAGCCCTGTATAAGCTTGGCAGGTGTTTAAAGTTGATTCCTGTGGATTCTCATAGGTTCCTTTGTCAACCCAATCACCCTACTCCCCTGCAATTTCCTTGGCAAGGTGAATGTAACTTTTTTCTCATACCCTAGGAATTTGATGAAACTTTGAGGTTTCTCTTCCTTGAAGCTTATTTTCCTTCCACCCAGGCCTCACAGACACAGCCTAAGATCATCCCATGCTGGCTGTCTTATGATGGCCCATAGTTGCTCCACGGGAAACATCTGCACATCCTTTGTGTTGACAAACTGTGTGCATGCAAGCTGATCCCTTTGCAGCTATCATGCTCTCTCCCACTTCCATCCTCAGCTAGCCTCTCGCAGTTCAGATTTCTCAGGCATGAATCAGACAACAGTCCACTGGGGCCCTCAAACTACATACACTGCAGATGAGAGTGTAAATTGGGGCATTAGTTACTTCAGAGAGCAATTTGGCAATAGCTAACAAGATTGAAAACTTCCTAGCAAATCCACTTTTGGGAATCTGCTGGGTGAATCACTTGCACGCGAAGTTCATTGCTGCTCTGTAAGAGCATTAAAGTAGAAACAACCTAACTCCTTCAGCAAGGGACGGATAAACAAACTGTGGGTCAGTCCTATAATGAGTAGTGAAAACTCACTAGAGAGAGAGCAATTTGATAAATCTCAAAAGTAAAATTTTGAGAGAGGAGAAAGGTACAAATGAGTAGGTACAGGTATGATTTCATTTAATTACATGTCTAAACATGCAAAAGAAAATATATTATTTGTGGGTATGCACATAAGGACATGCGTGGAAATAATGACATACAATATTCTCAGGATAGTGATCACCAGTGGGGAGGAAGAAAGAACGAGATGGAGGGGTTCTGCGTATCTGTATTGTTCGTTTTGGGGTTTTTTTGTTTTTTTTTTGAGTTGGAGTCTCACTCTGTCACCCAGAGTGGAGAGCAGTGGCCGCTCCCGGCCACCGCAGCCTCCCCCGCTGGGCCCCGGCGATCCTTCCGCCTCAGCCTTCCGAGTAGCCGGAATTACAGGCATGCGCTACCACGCCCGGCTGATTTTTTGATTTATTGTAGAGATGAGGTCTTGCTGCCCTGGCGGGTCTTGAACCCACG